GTTTGCATCTTTGCTTTTTACTTTAGCAAAGCATCGCAATTTATTTCTGCTCGCAGGTTGCTGAACTTTTCGACTAATGATGTACCTTGAGACAATTTCCAAAAAAAGGTTTGAATACTCTGCTATTTGGACCTGTATTTAAGAAAACTGTAGCTATGTGTCAATATTTCTTTTAAAACAAATAGATTCTCTAGAAAATGTGTTTGGAAATCTCAAAATCAGCCTACTTATTGAGTTGCTCCCGGCAGACAAATCTTGATCTAAATATGGAAAGTTCAACTTTTTGATGACTTTACTTTCTAGGTGTTTTTTTGCGTCCTTTGGCCATTTTTATTTGTAATTTCTTTGAGCTTAATAACGAATTTTTTCCCATATTTCCCCCAGCAAAGATTCTCAACTGATTTTCGCTAGCCGCTTGTTCCTCTATTGATGTCAATTTTCCAAAAAAATCTGGATTTCTCAATTATTTGAAATCCGATCTAATTGTAACCATCATTGAGAGCCAAACATTTACTCTACAAAACACGATCGGAAATTTCAAAATTGGGTATATTTATAGAGCCGTAGCCGGTAAACAATCTTGAGTTAAAGATGGAAAATTTAACTTATTATTCAGCTCTGCCATCGGGTGGTTTTTGTGCGATTGCGTCCTCCATCAACACCATTATATATTTTTATTTTCAGCTTAACAAACTCGCATTTTTAATTTCAGTTGGCTTTTGCTCCGCGGTTCTCTTTTCTCTTGGGTCAATTTTGGAGATAAACCAGTATTCCTTAACTACTTACAGACATTTTTAAAAAATTCTAAAACCGTTCAAAACGCAAGTCAATTATCTAGAAATAGCGGTTGAAAAATCGAAAATCTGCCACCTAATCGAGCTACTGTGACTAAAAAATACAGCTTAACTTGAACAGTTCACTATTATATTCATTTGTCCGCAGATAGATTTGTGGATGATTTAAACCTGTTTATTTTTATGAACAGGAGCAGTCAAAATAATTGCAAGAGCCAATATAAAGAAAATGGGAAAATATTTCACGTCTATATCTAACGCAAAAATGTTTAGGTTTTGCCATCTATTTTGGCAACGACATGAGCTTCAAAAAATATGTTATGTATCGGAACTTTTTTAAAATCTCTCTTGGCAAGTTTCATTCCGTTCCGCATTGCAACTGTCGCTATACCTACGTATGTTCAAATACAAATATTCTTTGCAACAACCGAAAAAAATGGGAAAACCAGTTTAAATTGCCAGGAAAAAACATACAGGCATAGCAAAGTACAGTTCACATCGGAAAATTTATAGCTGGAAACAATAATTAATTTTCCTTGTATCCAGTTTTCGTGTTAACAAAAAGTACGTTCCGAACTGGTATAAATTAATAGGGCAGTTTTGCGTTTTAATTATACGTCAGGCGGCTCCAAAAATTGCTCCGCGCCATGTCTGGCTTTAATAGTTAAAATACATAATTACTTCGAATGTAGTTGGATATTACTTGTTTGGCCATCCATTAAACGAAGCTATTTTAACAGCGCATAATTGTTGAAGTTGAAATTTCGAATCTAACTAAGCATATTGAAAAGTAATAGAGACGCTGTGAAAGTTTCCCGATCAAATAGAGCGATCGGAACGCCATATGGCTTGTGTGGCTTTCGGCCCACAAGAACCTCGCCAAAAATCGGGGAATAATTTGCGGCCAAAACTCAATTCACTAAATTACTCGCACATGCTTAAAATGTTATGTAGGGGGAAAACATTCACCCTCAAAATGCAACCGCCACAGTGAGGTTGGTCACTAAATAACTAAATTAACCTACTAAGTGATCTGACTTGAAGGAGGAATTAATTATAGGGAAGGAAGTTGCATGCCGCGCATAGTTTGACAATTTGATGCATTTTTTCCGAACTAACCGAGTCGTTTAGACTTTCATTAAGCTACTTTGGAGGCAAAGTTATGTTCGGTAGGAAACTTGTAGATGTTTTGATTCAAATTTGTAGAAAATGTTGCAGAAGGAAATTTTGGTTGGCGAAGAAAAATCTAATTTGCTTCGCCAACCAAAAAGCAATGTATACACAGGTCTGCTAAACTGTACCTTTATTGTAACAGGTTCCAACGTTCCTTTTAAAATTTGTCTTTAAAAATTCGCAACTATGATAATGGTAGAAATAGAGATGATGAATAATGATTTAGTTGATTTAAAAAAAATCGTAACATTGTTAAACTGAAAATAATATATTATAAAAATAAAAAATGACTCATAATAAGTAACTACTTGAAGAAGATAAAACTGATAAAAAATAGAATGGATTAAATAAAATATACCTATAAAAAATTTAATAATTTTCTTGTTCATTCAAGTCAACAATAACATTTAATAATCCACATTAACAAAAACGCTCTCGAACAAAAATGCGTGTTTGGCAATCCTGGACAATCAGAGAAATCTCTTTTTAGGAAATATTTATTTATTATTAAACATGTTTTCCGTTGACAATTGAATATTGCTCTACGGTGTCGCCTCAGACTACACACTATTCGTCCATGTGTCGCATCGGTTCTAAACAGTATAAAGGCACCATACTGCAAACTACATTTTCCGTTTTATGGGAAGGTTTCAAAAAAAGCCGGTTACATCGACTACCTGCAACTGCGGTTACACGCTTGGAACACTGTTATTTTAGCGGTTCCGTTAAATATCGACCATCCGCTTGCTTGATGTAATTGCATTTACGAGAGCAATCGACAATATGTCTTTACATTTTTTGAAGTTGCAAAATGAGGTTAAATTTGCGGCACGTAAACAATTAATTGGGAAAATAAGTCAATGTACAAGTAGAATATCTATAGGTTATGGAAATTCAGGCAACTTTTTCTTCAACAAACCCAAACGAAACCACTTTGCACATTTATTCAAAGTAACAGTTTAGGTAGGTACTCATGTCACGATTATCACTAACTAACCCAAAAAACACGAAAAATTGTCGAATTTACGACGCCAACGAGCCTATTTCCCCTTATTACAATTCTACTATAAAATATTCCCCTCATTTGCGGTGTTGTGATGTTATTAACTTTTCTTGATTCTTTCCAAAACTATTTCTTATGCATCTGCTCTTCGTCTTATGACCTAATTTCAATTTTTTTGCAATTTAGGTATTTCTTTACTTAGTCGCAGATAAGATAGCATCCACAATTCATTTCCGTAGGAGAGAACAAACTCCACCATTGTCCTTCCTATATGCTTTTTCACCTCTCTGTCTCTCTTTTCACTTCTCTTGGAAAACTGAGCTTTGGAATTTGTCACTGTATATTTTGTTTTGTAGATGTTGATTTCTAACCTCCAGTTGTTCTATTCTTGGTATAACCTTTGAAGCACAAATTCCATGTCATACGAATCCTGAATAACCACTGTCACGTCATCTGCAAAACTTGGTGTAAATAGACAGATGTGATCAATTAGTATACCAATTCCCCCGTAACTTCTGCGTATTTTTTTTAAAACGTGTCCGGAAAAAGTGCGAGCAACACTTAACGATGCAACTCTTCAGAAAAAATGAGTGTGACAAGTTCTTATAACAATTTGCGAAGTCTCAATAATAACTGATCCGCAGGATGTTAAAGTTTTAAAAAGATTATGAAACTTTAATAATTCAATACATGCATACTTATTATCTAATTAAATATTTAATAAATAATAATTCATTCTAAGTGCTCTCGGTTAAAACGTTGGAAATAATTTAACGGGCGTTATTGCTTACACCGTGCAAGACAATGTTAAAAGTAGATTGTCTAGAAAACTGCCCATTTTAGAGAAACAAGACAAGTAAACCTTTTTTGCGCAATTTTAAGCGTTCTTTTATATTTTGAAACCATTAAAAACCAAAGTGAAAAATAATAACTAAATGCCATCGGTGAGTTCAACCCTCTAGCATTAACGTATAAACGTTAACTTTTCCCAAATTTTAAAACAATCGGGAAACCAAGAAAAAAGGTATTTCATAAAATGCATTTAAAAAATCTAAATTTAACGCCCTGTAGATTCGTTATTATTGAGTTTCCGCAAAATATAGGAACTTGACACACTCTTTACACTTATACACTTTTTTTATGTAGAGTTGCCTCGTTAAGTGTTGGTCGCACCTTTTCCGGACATCCTGTATAAAAAGGTCTAGGAGATCTGGCTGCATTCTTGTCCAAGTTCTTTGGTTGGACAAAGAGGCATAAGAAAATTGGCTCCTTGTTTTCCATATGCTCTGTGATCTGCCTGAAGTCTATCCACCATCAAATTTCCGGCTTCCTTGATGGACAAGTAGTAGAAAAAGAACCACTATTATTGCGTCACTGCCAAAAGGCTGGGAAAGGAGTATCCAAAATTTTTCGACAGACCAGCCATCTTCAGATATAGGTAGCGATCATCGACCAAAGTTTTATTTTTGCGGATTTTTTGTTGGAATGGCAACATTCAGCTGGTTCTTCGCAGGAATGTCGCGGATGGAAATTGTTTGCCGAATCAGGACCGTTCAGCCAGTTCGAATGTGGTCGTGACGCAGACGACAAATTGCGCATTCCAAGTGAGACGTGATGCTGTGCGATCTTTTGATCTTGCCGGCATCGGTGTAGGCGGAAAAAGAAGAGAGGCGCGACGACAGTTTTCAACATTAACAGTTCAAGACAATTTTGACATTATCAAGCATGCTGATGGTTCTGTTGAAACTGCTGCCTTGGCCGGAGTTTCCGTTGTTCCATCGGCTTTCAAATGTTTAAAGGTTTTTCCTCAAAAACACGTAAAACAATAGCGCATAAGCATCATGCCGCTGAAATTAACACCATCCAAACTAACCTTTAAAGCTGCACTTTAATCGGCCTCTGTACAAACAGGGACTTTACTCACATGCAAAAGAGAGGCGACCGTTTCCATCTAGCATGCGTGCACTGCGCATTGGCACTCACGCCGCTTAATACACCATAAAGATTGAAGGCGAGCCCGTTTTATAAATGGCAACGGTCGCGATTGGTCCCAAACTGGGGCCACGCCCCCAGTCGCTTTGTACAGAAGGGGAACCGTTGATTTTCAACTGTTTTCCTTCCGAGAAATAGTGAGCTATGTGAATTCAACAATAGAAGGTACTGATCATCACAGTGTGCCGTTTTGGTGATTGCGTTTGATTGCTGCTGGACACTAGAAACGGGTTAGTGTTTTGATGGTTTGTCTGATTGAAACAAAACAGTGATTCGAAACAGTGACGACATGTTGACAGATGTTAACCCACCTGCGGGGCATTATTTTGGAGCGCAGATTCCTGCTATGACCATGAATGTCAAAACTGCTGTGAGTTGTTAAACCTTCTATTTTTCTAGCAATTAATCGAATGGATTTCGAAGTTTTGTTCCGGATTTTCCAATGCTTTAGCTTGTTTCAAGATTGTCTACTTAATTATTTTACATACATCATGTCAACATCCGATTCCATCTATTGTTTAAGAACGGTTTTTGCACATTATGTTTAAAGTGGACTATCCTCCAGTGGATGGTCTTCACAATGGCGTGGGTAAATTACCTTGAATTCCTTGCAAGTTTTTCCAATTTCGTTTTAGTTCGAAATCGGGGAACCCAATTACGAAAGCGATGTTGGCGACTTAACAATTCATTGAAGCAATTTCTTCGTGGGAAAACCACTCAATGACAACATCGTTCGAAATGAGCCTCTTCGGCCAAATTATGCAACAATCCAAACTGCCCAATCGGTTATGCATTTCTGGAGCTTCAGCCTGATACATTTTTGATGTAATCGCAATTGCAGTTCGTGAACACGCAACGAGCAATTTTTTGAGCCCATTGAACTGATAACAATTCCCGAACTAAAGAGCAAGAGTTCAACCTAAAACCGGCTTCAAATACGAGTACTTCAAAAATCGTCCTGCAACCTTTTACTTCTATTATACTCGTGCAGGCACACTTTTCCTACCATGTTCCTACAAGTTCTTTTGGCAACAAAAACGAAAAACATTCTTCTACCAACTATAACAGTGGTATTAAGGTGGATTTGGATCAATGGGGCGGCGTATTTGTTTGGGTAATCTCACGCTGTGAGAATCCATCAAGAGTGTAAAGCGCTCCCCATGAGGTTTGCACGTACACGTTGCTCTTTTATTCGTGAAGTGGCACGAAACTGACAGGTTTGAATCTGGTTTTGGATACTTCCATGATAGAACTTTGCCATATTTAGTGGTAAACCGCATTAGTTTAAACGAGGTGAACATGTTTAATAGTTTGTATACAAGAACAAGACTTGTACAAGATTCTCACGAAATTCTTGAAGAAGGTGATTCGATACTGTTTGATAACATAATAAGGTACTGGCGGTTTTCTCAAAATTAACAAAATTGAGTTACACGACGGGCTTCAGTTAAAAAAAGCAGTTCTAGTTAATTAAACCCCTGCGAGAAAACACTGTAGAATCTCCAATGAATAAAACCCGCCAAGCTTCCATCTGATAATCTCTAAAATAACACCGATTTCCCCTTGAGTCCATGTTCACAATTAGGAAGCTCTCGAAGTCTCGAGTTCTATTGACCACTAAGTAGCCAGGCTATCGATTCTTCGGATAAAGGCCAACATGACAAAGGTCTGTTCGGCAAACTGTGCATGGGAAAATGGCACAGAAAAGAATTGGCATTTATCGATGGTGACCGAATTGTCTTTTGTAGGACTCACGTTGATCTTCCCGCATGTTCAGGGTGCTTTGGACTTTCAGTTTCATTTACCCGCTTAGGGCATTTTTCGATCTTTTATGCCAAAATTTACCTGCTCGATGAAAGTGCAAGTGTTCGTACATCTAACAGGTTCCGAAGGTGGTTGCAAGCAAGCATTCTTTCAATCTTCTCCTGGAAAGTATGCAAATTGCCATCAAGTTCCAGTTCCATTTAACATTAGCGATAACACAACTCCCTCTTAGTAAGTTATTTTGAAACAAAACCAAACAAATTGCCTTGTTAATCAGCAATCATTCGTGGCTAGAGGCTTAAATTTATATAAACGTTACATTAGCGAAATCTACAACCACTCTTTACTACCCACTGTGCATCAGGCTACTGGTATTTGCAGATGTTAAATAAACAGAAAAAGCAACTGTCAGAGAACGTCCAGTTCTTAATGAGAATCGGCCGTAAAGAATGGCCCCCAGTGAAATAACAAATCTATATGCATGAAGGGCCTCGAGACACTGTTTTATGGAATAGCCGGTTCCCTAGAGAGGAGACAGTTTCGGGAATTTTACTGGACGCTTTGTTGATTGGTTCCGTTCGAATTGCCTCTTTGTAATGAAGAAACCTCTAGGAAAGCCACAGTATCGACCAGTGAAAGTATTGTTGAAAACATGCAAAGTCATACACATTGCAAAGCCCCACATAAAGAAAATAGCGCTCAGTCTCAATGTGTGAGAGTAACAAATGGAGGTTGACTTGCTTCTTTCATCCGACCATTTAAAGGATAATTGCCAAAAGATTTTTTAATTGAGCAGGAAATACGGATCATTACCTACCTAAAACCCTGAAGGATATATTTGAAAGTGGGAGATTAATGGGGAATGTGTTGTGACAAAATGCCGAATTTTTTAATTGAGAAACTTGCAAAAGTGTTTTTTACATTGGTTTGTTATGGAACAAATTTGTCGACGTTTCGTCTATTTATGTCTCAGTAGGAATTGTGTACCAATAGATTAGTTTGGTGTAGTTTTTAGAATTGGCATTTTCGTATATTCCTCCTGAGGAGCAGGCGGATATAAATAGGCAAAACATCGACAAGTGCAGATAACGACTTTTGTTAATCAATTATTTCTTTGTATCAAAAGCATACGATCTGACATATCTTTTATTAACAAAAAATGTCTGGCTCCTCTGGCATTGATGGTCAAAATTCTTCAAAAAAATTATCTTTTTTGAAATATCAGGAGAATGGTAAGTTGTATTTTGGTGAAACTCGCTGTGAATTTGTTCTTATGTACCACTCATATTTTGATGAAACAATCGAGTTCATCCGTTTTGGACAAGTGATGAATTCTTGACTGTCCTGGTACAAAAATTACCCGAACTTTTTAGTTGGAGGATGAAATCAACTCATTTTAGATTGATGCACTAATCATTTGCTCACAATTTTGTGTTCTTTGTAAAATCTTGTAACATATTTTGTAAATAAAATAAGCTATTTTTTTGGGTGATGCACAAATAATGTATTCACTATTTTGTGGTTTTTGTAAAATCTTTTAACATTCATAGTTTTTGCGAAATCAAAATTTCTGTTTTTATCCCAAAATTGTGAATATCTAAATGATTAGTGCATCAACCAAAAAAAATGAGTTGATTTCATCCACCAAATTAAAAGTTCTGGTAGTTTTTGGGCCACGACACTGAAGAATTCACCACTTGTCCAAAACGGCTGAACTCAATTGTTTCATCAAAATATGAGCGAGTTTCATCACAGCGAATTTCACCAAAATACATCGTACCATTCTCCCGATATTTCAAAGAGATAAATTTTTTGAAAAAATTTGATCATCAATAGCAGAGGAGCCAGACACTTTTTGTTAATAAATGTTAGGTCAGATCGTCTTCATTTGATCCAAAGAATATCGCAGTACCCTTTTGAGCATGTGCTTACGGGACACCCTGTATAGGTAAAAAAATTCCTACTGAATAATAAGCGTATAAAACTTTGTGAAACATCAGCAAGTGTAGAAAACGACTTTTGTCAGTTGTTTATTACAATCCCCAAAAGTTCAACCGTTTTATTTGATCATGTTTCGACTGCATGTTTTCATAGGGCCGCTTCTCTGAGAAATTATTACAATTTTTACATCCTTTTCCCAATGACGATCCAGTAGTAAGTTTCCGAAAACATATTAATACTTGTAACTTTTTTTATTATTAATTTCCATATAATTTATTTGTTATACTGTATTTAGGTATTTACATAGATTACGAGCTCATGGGTCAACTGATTAGACTTTAAATGTAGTCAAATATCCTAAGCAAAAAACTGCAACATTTGCTCAAATGGACGACAGTTTTCTTTTATCTAAGTATAAATAAAAAATGAGAATGCGACTTGTCTTTAAACTGTTAAATAGAAAATTGCTGAAGCTGGTCACATTGAAGGAAAACTAAAGCAAAAATGGATTATTTCAAGCTGAATCGGTTCTTTTTCTAAGCTTTTCCCGACTGTCTAATCAATTATTGATTTTTAGGGTATTTGCTTTTCAATGCATTGATTCCTTCTACTTTTAGCTCAATTAGAATTGAATTTGAGTAACAAATTAAGCTAGAAATTTGATCCGGAGAAAATGTGCTCAGAAGGCTCAGACAGTTTGCAAGTTTACCTACTTTACACGCGACGTGGCAGTATTTCTTAGCATTATTTTTGTGAAGTCTTGAAAAATTGGGGAAATTCAATTTTGTTAAAAATCTGCAATTCTAAAACATTGAAATTAATGATTCGTTCCTTTGGTAACTGTGTTCTCGTTTTTATTGATTTCATTCGAATCGTTGTAAATCACATTTTCAATAGCAGGAACTTAATTAAAATTAGTGAGTAAAAATCTCCAAACTCACTCACTTTTGTTGAATTTGAAATTTAGTTTTTAGAAAATCTGCACTTCCTAAAAAGTGACTTTCCAAGCAGCAAAGGAAAAAAAATTTATTACCCCTAATATATGTGTGAAATTGTTTTAGGTGATGTTTGAAGCATTCGAAAAGGTGTTTTAATGCTACATAAGATTTAAACGCAATTACTAAAATTAAATTAAAACCAGACTTTTTGTGAGAATTTTTGAACGTGGGACATTTTTTGCAATTGAATCAACAAATGTATTGGGGTGTACAATAACAATTTTTACTACAATTTAGTCATGAGTCAGTGTTTTCAGGATTGTTTCTATTTTGCGCAAAAAATTACTTCTTTTGGAAAATTTACGAACACCGTTACATAAGCATTGAAAGAACTAACCAGCCTAATGACTATTCAAATACATGGATGTTTTAAAAATAAATCATCAACCCACTAACTGTACAATAGTAAATGGTACTGAAAATTTATGTCGCGTTTTGCGGTGTTACTCTAGAAAAAGCCCACACAAATGTAAATTGCAGGCACGTTTAAGTGGCCTATTTATCGACGTAGTCGAACCGATAAACAGAAAAGCGATTTTCCAACAAATGGAACCATTTAATGTCATTATTAGATAGATATTAGGTAGACTAGTGTGTGTTCCTGGATTGAACCGCAACGAAATGTGCCTGCTACAAATTGTTTTCCATTCTGCGAGCATATGTGAGT